TTATTAGTGGCGAAGAAAATGGAGAGTTAAGAAGATGATGATGGATGTCATACAAAGATAATCATTCTCCTCGTGCTTATATATAAGATACAAAAAAAAGCATTTGCTAGTGCAATAGAGTAGGTGGACATTGTATACAAGGCCAATCTCTTTGGTCACTGGTCTTGGACCATGAAGAACAATATTTTGCATCCGGAATTCAAACCAAAACTTCCGTCATAGCGAGGTTTCAATCGGGTACATGCGACAAGGTCTCCTTCGATTCGATTTGAATGGTTTAAAAGGTAGCTTTATAGATAAACAGACGCGTATTGATAGATCAAACATGTATCTTGATTGATTGCTCAATACTTCATTAAACTAACTTTGGTTCTTGTTGAACCGTTGGAGGCATGAATATTATAGGTTTTTGAGAGTATTATTAAGTTTTCTTGGTAAGATATGATATGTTTTGAGGGGAAAAAAAATGTTGAATATTGTCAAAAACATCATTATAACAAAGTGTGATCTCCACCAACTTTTTTTTATTGTCGTTGTAATAATGTATCAGGTAATGTGGCAGCATCCACTTTGCGCAGATTGTGGTTTTTTTCTTTCTTCTTTTCATTTTATCTCAAAGATTGTGCTTAAACCATCATGGTCTCTTTTCTTTCTTGTATACAAGAAACTTGAATATTATAGCAACCCTAGTCAAAAAGCTTACAAAAATTTTCACAAAAAAATCTCTAATTGATACAAGGCCCAATCAGTTAAAGCCCAAAGTGATTTAGTTTGGCCCATGTAAAACAAACCGAATTGCGATTAAAAAAAATGGATAGAGTCGGTTATTTTGATTTCACTTGTAGCTTGAAATCAAAGCAGGCTGATTCAGTTAATTTACAATTTTTACTTGTGTAGGCTTCGGAATAAAGCAGAGAGCTCGTCTTTTATTTATTTTGGTTCCCGATCAATAAAACCACAATCTCTCTTCTTCTTCTTCCTTCTCTGATTATCTCATTCGATTTCGAGTCAAGAAATTCAATAATTCTACAGGTTTTGCTTCTCTCAGTTTTCTCATCGAATAATGGAATTTGATGGGGTTTTTTCGATTTTGGTTTCTAATTTATTGGTTTGGGCACAGCTATGGCGGATACTGTAGAGAAAGTCCCCACCGTTGAGGCATCTTCATCCTCCGCAGAAGCATCATCAATCTCCGGAGAGAAGACAGAGCCCACGACGGTCGAGAAGAAAAAGTGGGGCGATGTTGAGGATGACGATGAAGAAGATGCAAAAAACGCAATCTCAGAGCTCAATTCTTTGAGTATTGAGGAAGAAGAGAAACGTGAGTCTGTGCTTGAAGAACCCGAAGATGCAAACATCAAAGCGGTATTTACTACTACTATCCCGATTTCTTAGAATTGTGTTAAATCTTGGCCAATCGAGCTTAGATCTGGGTTTTACTTGAACAAAGTTAGGTTTTTTTTTTGTGTGGATCGGTTGATGCAAAGTAGTTCTTGGATGATGATCCCAGTAAGAGTCTAGGGTTATTTGTTTTCCAGATTGATTTTGATTTTTGTGGGTTTTTTTTGTAGGTTACTTCCGGTGATACACCATATACATCAGCAAGTAGGTTTGAAGATTTGAACTTATCACCTGAGTTGATGAAAGGATTGTATGTTGAGATGAAATTCGAAAAGCCGAGCAAGATCCAAGCAATCAGTTTGCCTATGATTATGACACCTCCTCACAAGCATCTGATTGCTCAGGCGCATAATGGATCTGGCAAGACGACATGTTTCGTTCTTGGAATGCTGAGTCGGGTTGATCCGACGCTGAGAGAGCCTCAAGCCCTTTGTATCTGTCCCACTAGGGAATTGGCAAACCAGGTTTGTTTAGTTACTCTATTTGACTTATGATATGAGAGAGTGTTTGATTGTTGACTTTGGGACATGTTAAGAGCTTAGTTCATGTATGGGTGGTTTAATGAATGGACAGAATATGGAAGTTCTTCAGAAGATGGGGAAGTTTACCGGGATCACTGCTGAAGTGGCTGTCCCAGAGACGAATAGAGGTGTAAATATCGCAAAACGAGCACCTGTTTCTGCCCAAGTGGTGATTGGCACCCCTGGAACACTTAAGAAGTGGATGTCATTCAAGAAATTAGGTCTAAACCATTTGAAGATTCTGGTTTTTGATGAGGCTGACCATATGCTTGCTACGGTATGCTCTTTATTTTGCTTTAATTGGCCTTGTTAATGATTAACTTCTGTATGATGTAGCCTTTTCTTTCATATGTTGATAACTGAGATTTCACTCCTGTTGCAGGATGGTTTTAGGGATGATTCCTTGAAGATAATGAAAGACATTGAGAGAGTTAATCCAAATTTTCAGGTATGCTAAAAACGAGGGTCTGCTTTGACCATGCTTCTTGAATTATAAGTAGAATGATTATTGATTTCTAGTGGCATATCTACGGTGATATCTAGGGGGAACAAGATATTTTACTCGAGCATATACTTATGCTTGTTATAATGCTCAGAAGCTCGTAATTAATAGAAACAGTTCAGCTGTGTTTTTAGTGTATAGAGAATAAGACATATCCGTGTTATAATGATGTTGTATCATTATCTCCATGGCTGTTAGTCTCAGTTTAAAGGAAACTTTTTCTTTCTTTTGCTAAACTTGATAACATGCTTGTGTTCTTGACCCTTTTTCTAACAGGTTCTTCTTTTCTCGGCTACTTTTAACGAAACCGTCAAAGATTTTGTTGCGAGGACAGTCAAGGACCCCAACCAACTGTTTGTAAAAAGAGAGGATCTAGCTTTGGACTCAGTGAAGCAGTATAAAGTAATTTGCCCGAGGGAGGAAAACAAGATTGAAGTCATCAAGGATCAGATTATGGAGCTTGGGGATATTGGCCAGACTATAATATTTGTGAGAACAAAGGCGTCTGCAAACAAAGTGCACAAAGCTCTTGCGGAAATGGGGTATGACGTCACCAGTGTTCATGGCAGTATGACAGAAGTGGACAGAGATAAAATCGTGAAGGAGTTCAAAGACTGCCTTACTCAAGTTCTCATAGCGACTGATGTCATTGCAAGAGGTTTTGACCAACAGCGGGTAAGTTTATCTTTTGACCCTTTTCCTTTCTTCTTCTTTCTTCCCAAAGGTGCTTCTTAGTTGATGAATTTTACTGCTTCTGCTACACTTGCAGGTGAATTTGGTCGTGAATTACAACCTGCCGACTAAATATGAAACTGGTGAGCCCGATTACGAGGTCTATCTTCACAGGGTTGGAAGGGCTGGCCGGTTTGGGCGTAAAGGTGTGTGCCCTGATTTTTCCTCCGTTAAGCTCTGCTTTTTTTGGTATGTCTTAACTGTTGCCGGAAGTTAAACTATGTGTTTGTATCGCGCAGGAGCTGTCTTCAACCTCCTCCTAGACGGGAGTCGGGATAGAGAGGTTATGGAGAAGATTGAGAAGTATTTTGGAGCTGTTGTTAAGGAGGTAAGAATACTGTATTGCAAAAACATAGCTTCTTAAAGAGTTTATCAAAACAGTAACAATTGACATTGGTGTTTCAAACTAATTTTGGTGCAGATCAAGTCTTGGAACTCAGAGAAAGAGTATAAAGGCGCACTCAAGGAAGCTGGCCTACTCGAGGAGTGAAAACACGAGAGGAAGAAAGAATTTGTTTTAAAACATCTTAAAAAGAGTTTGGCTTTGTAACTTTTATCAGATTTCAGACTTCTGTAGCCTCTTTATTCAGGAAAACACAGAATTTTGATTCCACTGCCAATCACTTTTAGTATGAACGTAAACAGCAAACCAATTCTTTCTTTACAACATCGAATAAGAATCATGAGACCAAAAACAAGACGTTGGTTGTGTTTTCAGTTCAGTGTATAACTTCAACCGATGGTTGATGTTTTAGCAGCAAGATGAATCAGTGCTCGTCGATGATATGTAGTCCGTAGCTTCTTGTATTTCTGCACAAATGCTGCTGTATCGATCTCCCTCTCTAGGAACTTTTCTTGCAGGGCTTCGGATTCTTTATCGGCCTGATTCATAGCCTCTGCAAAACCCGCAAAAGGTGTTTAGAAGTGATGACACAAGAACTGTGGAGAAGATAAGGTATTACAGTAGTTGTATAAGTTACCTTGAAGTTTATGAAGAAGCGAACCAGGTGAGTAAAACTGGAGGATCTCCTCTTTTTGCCTCTCCAGCTCATTGAGCTTCTCTTGTGCAGTTGCGAGCTCAGTCGTACGGATAATTCTGCACTGTAAAACGAGTAACGTAGGGTAAAAAGCGATACCAAAAAGCTTATTAAACATGGTGAACTGAACAAAAGAAATATGGTTCTTGATACTCACTTGGTTTCTGAGCTCTATCATCTGTGGCTCCTTCTCTAAGTTCTCTCCTGTTTACATTTGACCATGACAATGTTAGATTCTGGATGAAACCGAAGCTTCTCATCAAATGACATGAACAACAGAGAAATTACTAGCTAGCTGCAATGTTTCTCTCCGGAGCTCATCTTTGATCTGATTGACAGAAACAAAGAATGAAACAATCAGTCCGGTTTTAACGTCCAAAGACTATAGCAAAAAACCCGAAAGTCTTAATTACCGAAAATTTGTAAATAATGATGCCATGATGAAGGCCTTTTGGACAAATCAAACAAAAAAGCACCAATGAATAATCTCAATACATAACTAATAAAGCTACATTCTTAGAGCTCAAGATAATAGTAGTTATCCAGAAACAAAGTGCACGGTGTCTAAGACTTGCATTGTTCTGGATTTTAACCTGGTCAAGAGAGAGCAGAAATTGCTGATACGCATCTTTGTCAGAGAGAAGCTTCCTGAGCTCGTCCACACTACAGCAAAAGCATACAAGATTAGAGCATGCAAAAGCCGTAAGACAGGAGAAGCATACAAAAAAAACGCAAACAGAGCGAACCTTTTGTCTTTCAAGAGCACGATAATGCCTGCTGCTTCACCTGGTGAAACATGTGTTGGAATCTGAGCTGATGTTTGAGGCCGAGATGAGCTTGACGAGCTGAACAGAGAAGGCGAGTACCATGGCTGCTGCGAAGAAGCTTCCGGAGGTCGAGATTGGCCTTGTTGTTCTTTTGATCCCCTTG